CATTTTTCCACGTTTTATCCCTTTAAAGACCTGCAAATATAAAGAAAGAACTACTGATGCACCAGAAATGCATTCAGCTCATCATTTTTTGTTGTGGGCTGACAACACAGCATTTTTTGTGGACTGCATGGTGTGAGCACTGACAATTTGTCTTTTGATAAACTACTGAATCAGTGCCACTGTTTTCACCTCTACAACATAAGAAATAATTGCTCTGTAGTTCAAGATACGAACTAGGAGGGCCCTGCTTACCCTGCTTGAGATAAGACTAAGTGTGTACAGGACGGCTCTTGAGGCCCTCCTAGAAGGCTCGGATTTTAGCCAATTGTAGTTAAAGTGACATTAAAGTTAAAAAAAAAAATTCCCTCCCCCCCATGTTAATGTTAGCACTTACCTTAAATGAGGTGTCTTAATCCGATCTTCCTCTTCTTTCCTGATGTTTTCATCTGTCCCTCCAGCGGTGCGGCGGCTCTCCGATCCAGCGCTAACTCCTCTCTGCTTGCAGGCACTTCCGATCCAGCGGTGCACGTGTCCATAGACTTACCTTGCGTCTCTGCTCGTCTCCCGGCCGAAAATCCGAACTGCGCATGCGCCCGCCCGAGCAGTTTCGGATTCTCGGGCGGGAGAGCGCGACGAAAACATGGTAAGTGTAGACCGCTGTTAAAGCATTTTTTTTTTTTACTTTTTGCCTATATCTACTGCTTACTAGCAGTAGATATAGGCCAAAAAAACAGAGGTTTTAGAAACCCTTTAAATCAACAGAAATTCGAGACATGGATAGGGTCATCCATGCCTCGAATTTCTGTTGATGCCAAGTCGTTAGGCACGACTTGGAATGGTAAAAGTGGATTTAAAATTCAAATGAAAATCATCAGCTGAACAGTGACAGCATCCATATTAGATGTGTTAGATCGTATCTGCCTGACTACAATGGAGAATTCTAACAGCTAATAGGGGAGATGGAGGAATCCAGTGATTTTCTCTCTGTCTCTTTGCAAGCTAAAATGTCTTAAAAAAGGAATAAGAAGCCTTTGTGGGGTCAATTCACTAAAGTGTATGAGATTAACTACACTACTGCAGTATATTAAATATTACAATTACTAGTGCATATTTTTTTATCGTCTTTTAAAAGTTATTTCTGTAAGTCCCCAATGGAGTCTCTTTTTCCTTAACTTCCAGTTTGTGGGTACGAGCCGTGCACATATACTGCTGTCATGTGCACCGCTCTCCCCAAACTACAATTCACAGGTTGCAATGCACCAGCCATTTCTACTGTGCATGCTTCCCCATTTTGGGTCAATTTGTGTTTATTAGAACATTTTTCAAAGTTTACAATACAATACAGGGAATGAGAGAAAGAAAAAAAAACCCGAAACAAACAAGCATACAACGGTATTAAACAGTTCAGTTGAACAGAATTAAGACCACAAAGGGAAGTTTACACTTGGGACCACGTGTATGGTCCTCGAGACAGTCGGTCTAACACTGGTGTCAGGGAGACACCTTCAGGAATGGTGTACATATAGCCCATCAGACACATGCATGTTTTTCTGTAGTCAATGTAGATAGCAGGATAGGAGGGTGGCTACACTCCCACATACAGTAGGACCATTCAGAGTGAACACACACCCTCATAACAGAAGCTGGAGCAGAAAGAAACTTCACATACTGTATTACTCACATACTGTACTGGGCAGGGCCCTCCTTACCATCTTGTCTTGAATTGTATTGTAACTGTAATGTCTTCCTTATATTGTAAAGCGCTGCGCAATACACAGTACTTTAGCAAACGAAATGTCTTTTAATTAGGGTTTAAATGTTATTAAAATATGTTTTTGTGACTTGATTCTGTTCTCTCTATTGCATTCTCTCTACAAGAGCTATATCAGTCACACATCTGCCTCAACCGAACTTCCAGGCACTAACAACGATATAGGATGGGAGTGCTGACAAAAAAAACTCAAGCTTGCTTTAAACATCACATGTTTCTTTTGACAAGGATGATTATTTAGCCATTACTAGGTTGAGGAATGGTCAGCACGGGTAACTAAATGTATTTCTTTTGAAAAACATACTTATGTCATGCAATGAGCAAGTTGGATTATATCTGACCTCGATGGTTGGATGTCACATGTCCCCTTTCCACATTTTAACTTGATGTTATGTCCCGCTCTTTAAATGGTGACGGTATCTAGTCAATTCCCTGTTTGGTGTTACCAAAAGCCAATTGTTAGAGTGTACATTTGTGCCATGGTAGCATGCTGTACTTTGCCATTCTAATGTTTTGTATATCTGTCCTGCGAGACAGCTTTTTGTTGTATTTAATCTGCTTTTTGTGTTGATGTGACTATCTTATTATAAACTTTTTGTACATTTTATTATAAAAAGTTTTTGTAAATTAAAAAAAAAATCATGTGTTTAAAATACTGTTAAACCATAGAAAATGATTGTATTACCACCCTTCTCTACTATGTTGCTTTACAGCATAATATCTACTCTTTAGCTGATACACTTTATACAAGTTCCATACTGAAAACTGCAGTCTCTTGTCTTTACTCTTTTGTGTCCTTTATACATACAACGGGCTTTGAAGACTAATTTTAGAAGAGAAAGAAGACAGCTATAATTACAAGGCAGCACTTTTCTACAACAGAACTTCTCTTTTAGGATCAAGAGGTAAAATGGCCATATTAACATCAAGCTGTTTATTGATGGCTTTCATATATCGTATATATCGTAAAACCTTTCTTGCTACAGATATACTCGCAATTAAGTACTTCCAGCTTACTTTCCAGTTCTCAATTACCACCCAAGTATTCTGCGTATCACTCTTCAGAAGGGCAGTAAGGTGTCAATAAATTACAGACTCGCAACATAGTATTGTCACAAATTTCTAAAGACTTCATTTTTATCACCTGCTTAAAAGGAGAACTATGGGATCAGTGTTTTCCCCATAGTTCTCCCAAGGGTCACGGGCGGGACACAAACTAGCATCCTCCCGTCACCCAAAGCTCAGTATACCGCGAGCAACAGCTCGCGGTATACTGAGATCGCCGCAGCCGGGACGGATCCCGACATTACTGTCGAGATCCACCCAGCTGCGTGATTGACAGCTGGCTCTGCCTATCTAGAGGCAGAGCCAGCTGTACCCGCCCTTTCCCCCGTCCGTTCCGCTAGTCAGCGCTGGAGGATCCGACGGGGAGGGGGAATCCCAGCAGGGAGCCGTGAGTGACAGTCAGGGCTCTCTGCAGGGACATGATCGAGAAGTAAGCAAGCAACGTTATGTGTTCGCTCACTTCCCGATCCATTGAGCCGACCTGGGACAGTTTCATTGTCACACGTCGGCTCGAACTATGAGGCTGAGTGATTTTCACTCACCTCATAGTTCTCCTTTAATATATATATATAAATAGCTGGACAGAAAACAAGATAAACTGATATTTAAAGAGTATTACCTGGGGCAGCTGTATATTAAGCCGACAATAAACAGGTTTGCACTGCTTCAGCAAGTTGTGCGGTTACTGAGGCACCGAGCAGAATAAAAGTTTTCAGGCTAGGTTTACACCTAGGCGATTGAGCTGGTGAGTTGTTTTCATGCATGTTGAAGAGGTAGAATATGGCGTGACACACGTTACTATTGTCCCTACTGTCCTTCACAACCTGGCCTTTGCATTAAAGACCTCGGTCACTACCATACCTCACTGCGATGTTAGTGTAGGTATGGTGAAGGTGTTCCTCTTATGCTTGACTAGCTGCTATTTGCCTGATATCCTTTGTACTGACTCCTGCTTATCAACCACGTTTCTCCCTGCCACCTGAATTGATACTTTTTCCTGCATAACAGTCAGGTCTGTGCTTGCCTCCTGAATTGACCCTTGCTTGTTTATCAATTGTGTTTCTGCCCGCCACCTGAACTGACCTTGGCCTGCATACTGACCACGTCTCTGTCTGCCGACCTGAACAGACCTTTGTGTGCATACTGACCATGCCTCTGTCTGCCAACCTGAACTAACCTTGGCCTGCATACTGACCACGTCCCTGCCTGCCACCTCTAATGACCCATCTGCATGTCCCACTGACTATGTTCCAGCTAAAACAACAGCCCCTGCCATCCTCTGTTGACAACTGCACTCCTGGAAACACAGGTACACTTTTGTTCACCCTTTGTTCAGCCTCCTCTACTTCCTGGCCTTTGAACATAGGATTGTGTATAATTCATGGGGTCAGCAAAGTACCAGCCTCCCTTCTTCCTTCTCCAAGCAAGTATATTAACAGTTGCTGAGAACTGCACTGTCCCTTGTGATCTTGTACTGGACAGTAAGTTCAGGGAAGCTGAGCTAAGAGAGTTGGAGCCACGTGTTCAAAAACATGACTAAGTGTTTGGGCAAAAATGTAAAGACATATTTTGCTGGGCAATGTATATTTGTTTCATCAGGATTCACTACTGTAAAAAAAAAAGTTTGAGTTTAATACTTTTTCAGGCAAAACTTTTATTTTTATTTTTTGCATAAATTTGTGAGAATTTAGATGATCTGATGTGGTCACTGGGACAGGAAGTGAGGGGAAAACCTGTAATAGGGTCGGAGACCTTGTAAAAAATAAACAAAAAACATAAAACATTTTGGCTGGAGTTAAGAACTTGAAAATTCTATAGTGAATTGACTAAATATGCCCAAAATACATAATACATTAAATGTGTTTACCACGCATACTTCTAGGCCTAGTAGAGCATTGCTACAAAAATACTGCATGCAGAATTTGTTCTTTTAAATGCACTGCAGCACAATGATGTAAACATAGAAATAGCTTTTCTGCACTAAAATGGACAGATTCTAAGCACTATAGGAATGAAAAAAAATTTTTTCTACATGCAAACAGGCCCTTAAAGTGAACACTGACTGCAGTGTGTCTGCCTTTGCCACTGTAGTCCCGATGCAGGAGAATGTCACATGTTGCTACTTTATCTGGCTATGATAGCTCCCTTAGATAAAGATACTTGCCGTATATCCTCCAGGGCAGCAGTGACTTGCTCTTTTATGATATCATACAGTCTCACTTGGAAGCCACCACTAGCAAACACCATGGCCCAGCTCCTGCCAATAAGACCACTGGAAGAAAGTAAAAAACAAAAATCAGTCAGTTGTAACACAATATTATGAACAAAAAGACACAGCAACAGACAAAGAATGCAGAAGGACCTTGATTACAAAAAGTTTTTGGCCTATACCTAGGCCGTTCACCTTTTCCCCCACTAAATCTTTATGTCTTGGCCACCAGGAAAAGGCTCAGGGGGAGGTTCTCATCCCACCGAAGGTGCCTCCTGCTGCTCTAAAGACTTGATGTAGAAACTGCCTTTGTTCACTTACTTTTAGATGCAGGAACACCCAGATCCAGGGTGGCTGGATCTAAGATTAGGGGCTGAGCTTGGAGCCAAGAGATGGCAAAGTAGCATTTCAATGCTAAATCAGACAGGACAGTAAAGACAAAACGGCACCGTGACCAAGTCACAGTCTGACTTTACTTGATATGCATGTGCCTTCTTCTGCTTTACCCATGTGCCCACCATCTTTACAAGAGAAGAAACCTTTCTCTGATAAAAGGAATTAGATGGAGAAGTTTAAGTGATAGCTGAAATTGCATATTAATGTTGTTTTCGAAACCAAAAAATAGGACATTGCGTGAGACAGGTGTCATTTCATGCTACAAGGCCAAAACTTAATGGAACATATTTACTTGAAATAGAGCATGCAACAACAAAAATCGCTCATGGGTAAACAGATTTTCAAATGCCATTTTTAAAATAAATAGTAAAAAAGGAATTAGCTGAGAGAAATATGGAGACTGCCATTTCTGAACTTGCTGTGCCATTTCTGAAATATTTCTGTCCAATACACATATGCAGTTGGTGCTGACATACTTGGACTGCAGCGCACCATAACACAAGTGCCATGCATTGTGTTAAAAGAAAAAAGTGCAGGTCCAGTTTGTCTTTCATTGTTGTGTGTTGGAAGCCAATTCTAAATGAATGGCTACTGAGACACAAACACACTAAGTACTGGACCAAGTCCGTGACAGAGAGTACTGAAATCATGAAATCAGCTTCATAGTCAGGAAACTAGCCTTTTTAGAAGAAGGTCATTAATGGCAGCCTACACATTCTCTAAGTTCTCCCAATAGCTGGTAAAGGTATCTACATCTTGCAACTAACAGGTTTTCTTTCCCTTCATTCCCAAGGAAGGGGCTCTGATAGGATCCGTTGGGATCTTTTATCTTCTACTATCCCTATTCAGTAGCACAAGCAGTAAGAAATTCCTTATGAATATAAAACCTGCCTACTACTGAGGGGAGTTAAAGTGGCCCGTCAAATGTGCAAAAACAAACAATAGCTTATGGCTGAGCAGACACCGCAGAGTCAGAATCCTATTACAGTACGGATCATGTTCAGTGTGCTGAAGCATGCCCAATGCATCTAACTAGGCTTGAAAAAGAAAATCTGCTTGGTCACTGCAGACCTTTCCCCAAATATAACCTCCTGTTTGACTTAATATGTTCCAGACAGTTTACGGTTATAAGTTTTGCCACTGGATTACATACACTGGTGAGAAGCAGATTAAGTTAATACAATCCAGTTTTAACTCAAACTTGAGGTTGGGTTCACACTTTTCCGGTCCAGTGCGTTGCATTAACATGCACTGCATTAAAGGAGAAGTCTCAGCTTGTACTATTTTTCACAGCTCAGTCGTCTTACTCCCACAGTATTTGTAATTGGATTTTTATCCTATGCTTTGTGTGTAGTAGAAATTGAGTTGCAGACTTTGACAGTTCACTACTCTTCATTCCCGACCACGCTCTGCAAATGAGACCTGGCTCTTATCTCACTGTCCCTGCACTTTCCAGACACAAAACTTCTGTGCTGATTCCTGTAGCGCATGCATGGCAGCGTGGTGCAGCACAATGCAAGGTAGTGCATTGTGGAAGTACTTTGTCCAAATGGCACCTGAAAAACTTACATGAGACTGGCATCTCTGCCTTACAACGTGGTAACACAGAGAGGATTTACACATTTCCTGAAAATACCCCTGCTGCATGACAGACAGAGTCTATGTTTTAGAAATGAGGTACAACTGTGAACAGAAGTTGTGTAGGAAGCGAGATTTTAGCCACTGAAATTGCAAAACATTTCGAAGGCAAAAGGCCTGTGATGTGACTCTTGCTTAAACAAGCACATCCAGTCCCCTGGTTGAGCATTCCACTGCAAAGCATGGCAGACTACATATAGTTTTTAGTAGACAAACTCAAGATGCAAATGTCATCAGCAGAGGGAGTCCTTAGCGGACAGAGTTGTCTTCCTTACAAATGTCAGTCAGCAGAGAGATTCCTTAACAGACAGATTCCTCTTCCTTGAAAATGTCAGTCAGCAAGGGGGTCCTTAGCGGACGGACTTCTCCTGAGAAATGTCAGTCAGAAGAGGAGGTTCATAGAGGACAGACTCCTTTTCCTTGGAAATGTCAGGCAGCAGAACTGGTCCTGAAAGGACAGTCTTTACTTCCTTGGAAATGTCAGTCAGCAGAATAAGTCTTTGGCGGACAGACTCCTCTTCCAGAGAAATGTCAGTCAGAAGAGGAGGTCCTTAGTGGTCAGACTCCTCTTCCTGAGAAATGTCAGTTCAGAAGAGGAGTTCCTTAGTGGACAGACTCCTCTTCTGTACAAATGTCAGTCAGCAGAAGAGGTCCTTAATGGACAGACTCCTCTTCCTTAAAAATGTCAGTCAGAAAAGGAAGTCCTTAGTGGACAGACCACTCTTTTTTTTACAAATGTCAGTCAGCAGAAGAGGTCCTTAGTGGACAGACTTTTCTTGCTTACAAATGTGAGTCAGAAGAGGCGGTCCTTAGAGGATAGACCCCTCTTTTTTACAATTGTTAGTTAGAAAAGGAGGTCCTTAGTGGACAGACTCCTCTTGCTTACCAATGTCAGTCAGCAGAAGAGGTCCTTAGTGGACAGACTCTTCTTTGGAACAGTCAGAAGCACTTAGAAGATAGACTCCTATTCCTTACATATGTCAGTCAGCAGGCAGGTCCTCGCAGAATTGTCTCCTCTTCCTTAGAATTGTGAGTAAAAACACTGACATCTGATTGGACGTTTGAGGTTTGTGGTCTGTTTGCCCAGTCCTTAAATTTGGTTCATTTGCTGTATCTCCCACTCTTTCAGATTTGGCCATTAGCTTGTTTAGCTGGTAACCTAACAACTGTGTCAGGTGGTCATATTTTTCTGGTGTATGAACATCTTATTGACCCTTCAAACTACTATTTAACAGGTAAATTATACCCAGCTGAATATTCAGTGTTATCCTTTAACCTCTACCATATAAAGGTGAACTCAAGCTTTAATATCTAGACCGTTTTAATTATGCATACGAATTTAAACAAACAAAAATAACAATAAATGGGATGCACAGATACTTTTCGAGAACCAGTGCCAATACTTGGCATTTTCATGAGAACTACCAGGGTTGCAGAGGTTGCAGAGGTTGCAGCTGGGACCGGGCTCTGGTGCTCCACCACTGTCCTGAAATCATTAGTCGATAGTGTTTTAGAAAAACTGTCACATGACAATAAACAAAAAAAGTATCAGTACTTGTACTCGCAAAACTGGTATCTGCGCATGCCTTTATTTATATTTATAAACACTAAATCATACATTAAAACAGAGATGTACCAATCCCAGGAGCTCCGTGTGCTCCTTACAAAATGACAGCTGCCTCCTAACTTTTGAATTTTTATCTTGTGTAGTCTTGGAGCTCGGTACTTGGTATCGGTGCATCCCTAATAATGATCTCACATACCTTAAGGTTAAAGGAGAACTCCGGGCAAAAGAAATCTTAACCCTTGCAGTGGGCCTACCCCTGCACTGCAAGGGTTAAGTGCTTGTTTTTTTCTAGGGAGCTAAAATAAGAGATATTTTAACCCAAACCACAATCCCAGCTGGCTGATAGACCTGTCGACGCAGCCGGTCCCCTCCTCCACTCCAGCAATAGGCTGTCCCTCGGTGTCCTTACTTTCTATACAGTGTACAGAACATGATGACTCACAGGACCTTAGATCTCGACATCCTCACAATCTATACACTGTATAGAACATACTCACAGGACCTTAGACCGCTGGAGCGGGGCACCAAGGACCGGTCTAACAGACAGCCAGGATCGTGATTCGGGTGAGTATAACTCTGTTATTTTATCTAACTAGACAAAACAAGCTCTCAAACCTTACAGTGTGGGGTAGCCCCACTGCAAGGATTAAGATTTATTTTACCCAGATTTCTTCTAACACAATATTGTTTTTGGTTCCAAGCTCCGAGCTCCTGGTTTACTACAGGTATAGCAATCTCAGTGTATAATTAGAGATATGCATACAAGTAAAGGCTTGAAATCACAAATTGTAGATTTAAACTTTGATCCATCACCAAGTTTACTAGCCTTGGACATGTGGCAGAAAGAAAATAATAAGATACAGTTGCTGTTTATCAAGCACTCTAGACAGAGATGGCAAGGTGTTAGCTTAAAATTAAAAAAAAAAATATTATATATATATGTCAAAAAAGACAAAAACGCAGTATTGCAGTGTGCAATGATACCTTTCTTATTGGACTAACATTCACTCTTTCACAGTTTATTAAACGTACACCTAAGTCCCTCCTTTATGGCGTTGAAATGTAAAATCATTTTCATCTCAAATGTTTTCCTTTCATGAGAGTTTTTAAAATTCCCTTTTAGTACTTTAATATTGAGGTTTTGGATGGAGTGATCCTTCTGGGAGAAGTGATGTCCTACTGGAGTGCAATATTCATCCTCTTTGTGGTTCTTGATCGAGCTCCTGTGTAGGTTCATCCTGTATTAGTATTTAACATCCTGTCAAATCGATGTGTTGGAATGGCAAGGCTAATGTGGTTTTTTTAAACTAAATTATTTATACACAAATTCAATATTGGATGGAGTGGATTGCAAGTCATTTTTGGTGACTTCTTGAAGTACAAGTCACTGGCTTTGAACTGGTATGCAGATCAGATAAGTTGTAGAGTAGTAATCAGCAGCAACCATTTAGCAATAATCAGTGATCTGATCTCAGTCAAATTAAATTTAATTGACCTACATGAGTTCACATACTTAATGTTCTTACCATTACTAAAAATAAACAAAAAATAAACAGTTCAGCCACAAACTGCCTTGAGACATAATAAAGCTGACTAATAAAGATCATTGCATTTTATACAAAGTAATTAACTTATCATATATAAAAATGCATTAACATGCTGATCTAAGCAAAAGCTAAAAAGGAGGATTTCCTCACTGCAGCAGTCAGACATGTAACCTTGCTGGAAGGTTATTCAGGGTCAGCTCTGTTTCCTGTTTTTGGCAATGCCACAAGTTTTTCCAAGACTGAGACACCAAATTCTACATGTAAAAGCTGATCACAGTTTTTCTAAGGCGTATGTCAGTATAGCCTCAGTGTTTCAAATGCGGCAATCATATGTTGCACACAACAGGTCCCATGCCAAGCCCTTCAAGTTCTTGCAATAAAGGTACCCTGTAAATGGAGTGAGCACTGGGTGGCAGGATTGTGGCCGCGGTGTATGCGTCACATAGGTTTCTCACATGCACGTGGGGAGGAGCTCCAATGTTTATGGTTTATAGTTAAAAGGGTCGGACGAGCAGATGTTTTGTTTGCCTTATGCTATGGACTTGCTGTACAAAACTCTCCTGCATTGAAACTCTGCCTTGCTGAACAAAAATACAGGAAAAACCCGCTGGGACTGTTCATGGGTGTCCCCCTATCTCATGCATTGGTTACCACTGCCAATACCAAACTGAGCCCCCACCTTACAATGGGCATGAAAGATCATTAAATATGGACTATAAATATATGACCATTTTACCAGCTAGCTGTACAAAGATCACAACAGAGAACAAACAAAAAAATGCCAAACTAGGTTATTTGTAAACGTTTGTACGTTCACCTTCATGCCATCTCTAAACTAGTGTGTTTTATATCCGCTCCAAAAATGTATATGCAGTAATTCCAATGGTTTTCAGTGAGGCCAGTTCACAACATTAGGTTCCCTTCCAGAGCTTTCAAAAAAGTACAGCAGCATGCTTTTTCTGCACTGGAACACAGGGAAAAGCATGTAAACCCATAAAAATGCGATTAAACGCAATGTAAAACCAATTTTAAAAAAAACTGCACTGGAACACATCAAAAACACGTCAGAATGTGCATTATTGCATATGCAGAAAAGCATCCGGACATGGTGTGAACAAACCCTATAAGAGGATCTACTGACAATTTTCTGATTCACCTTTTTTGTTTTTGTTTTCAGCAAGCATGTTATAACAATCATTAACAAGTTTGACAAAAGATGAATATGACACAAAAACTGGCATAGGGACTGCTGAGAATTTTCAAAGGTTTGCTCAAATGTGCATGCTTTGCTACATGACTGGCAGGAATGGTTCACCAACATCTTCCTGTTTGTTTGACTAACACCACAAGGTGAATCTCTCCAGCACATGGACCACACCAACACTGGGATCTTAAGAAAGGCCAGTGAAATATTACAATTCTATTTTTCATAATGTGACTTCTAATAATGGAATAAGAGAACATGTTGACAGGCATTTCCCTGCATTTAAAACACAGCAAAGGTAAGCACAATCCCATTGACTTTAACCCCTTCATGACTGAGGCCCTTTTTTCATTTTTTGCACCCATGTTATATTCCACATTTTATACACATGGGAGTTCACAGGCTGCGTTTCACCTGCTTTGCTTCACACACTAATCAAGATAAATTCAGCTGTGATTGGAATGATAGATAACAGCATGGGTATGGTAAAGAAACTTTCAAAAGTATTTGAAAAAGATCCATGGTGAAAAAAGCAACAAATTAGTTCTCTTATATGTAGTTACTGCCGATATCTGTTGCAATTTCAAAGCTCCATGTAGTAGACTCCTCTTTACCAAAAGGATATTAACATTTAGTCATTCACGTCAAGTGTCGCTTGCTTTGCCAACGATATTGATTGATGATACAATCCTGGCCTAAAAACGAAAGGCTAAAAACGGAAACATGTGAACCAGTGTTTTTAACCGCTTAAGAACTGCGGATGTTAAATGTAAAAGTATTGTATGAGATATTTGGTAGTCATACCCACAATTCTGTGTCTGATTTCTTTATCAGACGCGTTTCGCCCGTCTCACTTCGGGGCTTTGTCAGAACGTTCTGACGAAGCCCAAAGTGGGAGGGGCGAAACATGTCAACAACGTGATACGTTGATATGCTAGATAGATGGCCAGACACACCAACTATTAGACACTGAAAAGACTATGGAATGATGATATTCATGAGAAGTGATATCGATGGATGTACATGAGCACTTGTGGAGTGCTAACAACAGTTCCAGTGAGCCCTGAAGCCACCTCTGGCCACGGGTGCACGTCTCTTTGCTGTCACACAGCCACATGCTTCAACAGATCTGAATGTGGGGAGCACAGCAGAACTTGCAGGTGCTAAGTGTCCGCACATGTGCTGTATTCTTCATCAGCAGTGCTCAGGGTGGACACTCTGTTGCTGCAGAATAATGTTATTTTATATGTATTTTTAACATTGTTGTTGCAATGAGAAAGCCTTTGCCAATAAACAGTGCTGGTCAACTGTTCATCCATGGTTCCTCCATGGGGCGAGCGTTGTAAATCCACAGGGCCCAGCAGGGACTATGTATGAGCAAAAGATGTGCTGCAAATGAGCAAAAGATCTTAGTACAGGGCTAAGGGTAACTATTTTACAATGAATGTTGCTCTTTAAAGTACTGTATTTGCTGGCGTATAAGACTAATCGGGGGTCGTCTTATACGCGGGGTATACAATGTATACCTTTAGATCGTTTAGGCCAAGATGGCCCAAAACAAACATCCCTAATCTGTGAGCCCGCTGGATGTGCGGTAATACTGTATGTACGGTAGCTTCGGCTACATACAGTAGCTGAGCCAATCACGGCGAGCGATGTACACAACCTCTGCCAATCCAAGCAAGCTTTGTATTCATTAATACAATGCATTGCTCGCCATGATTGGCTCAGCGCGGTATACTGTATGTAGCCGAAGCTACCATACATACAGTATTACCGCACATCCATCCATGATGTTTTTAAATGGTGTTGCCTCAGAAGTGGGGTAGTCTTATATGACGAGTATAGCCCAAAACCTATGTTTTAAGTGGAAAATTAGGGGGTCGTCTTATACACCCAGTCGCCTTATACGCCGGCAAATACGGTAGTAGTAAACTCTCAAACTTTTTTCAATAATAAATCCAGCTCAATCAAATATACATTGCACAGCAAAGAATTTCTTTCAAATGTTGACCAAGCACTTAGTCATCATGTTTCAGAAGAGCTGGCTCCAACTCTCTCAGCTCAGCTTCCCTGGACTTCCTGTTCAATACAAACTCACAAGAGACAGAGCAGACTCCAGTAAAGACAGATTAGGAGTGGGGAGCAGGGAGGAGGGAATTGGCTTGATTTGCTGTGCCTGCGTGATTTGTGGAGACACACAGTTTACTAGCGCACACATAAGAGTGGCTCTATAGGACCTTGCAAGGAAAGGAGCCATCATTAGTATCCATTGAAAAACAGATCCCAATACAACAGGTCAGAAGTTAATCGGGAGGTACAATCGCAAGTCAACAGACCCTCCATTGACTTGCAATTTCGTTCCTATTTTAGTGTGAACGGACCCCTAGGGATCGTAAACAAGCATACATTTATTCTGAATTTAGATATAATTTAGGTGTCCCCATATACAAACAGAAATTATACAAAGAAGTGCACAGAATTATGTAAATATAATAATTCTTTCCAACTCAGACATTTTATACATAACATTGTTTCCTATGCAGACAAAACTCAGTTTTGAAGTGCTGAGTATGTTTTATTAATTGAAAAGCTACACATATCGAAAGAGCCATTTCTGCCATCTTTAACTACCTCCCGGCCAGCCGCTGTGTATACACGGCCTGATGGGAGCTTCTTGGATGTAACTGGGCGTGTATACACGTCCTGTTTACAGCAGAAAGTTTTGCGTATACTAGAAGGTTTTTGCAACTAAAACAATACATGTTCCTAGTTCTGAAATGCTGCTTTTTATGATCTATCTTCTCTGCACTGGAAATGTGTCACAATCAAAGCCTGAACCTTTGTTGTGTTGACCAAAAAAAGTTGTCTCACGTCCACAACTTCTGACTTGCTGATAGGACACAACAAGCCTCAGCATGTCTTTCTGCAGGAGCTTGAGGTGGCACCACAAGCCCCAGCATGTTGCTTGCGGGACATACTGAAACTTGCTATAGCATATACCGTGCATACATTCGCTGTAAAATTAAAATTATTATTAGACTATAAGATTTGCTGATGCATGCACAAGAAAGTTTACCTGCCAATAATGACAATATAGCCTTCCTTCGGGTCAGTCATTTTCTGTGGCAGGAAATGTTTTTTTGACTAGCAGTGCAGACTGCAGGAAGGATCCAGCACTGGACTCTCAGCAGAGCTTCACAACCCAACTATTTACTTTCTGCTGTCAGGACGTCTTGTGTAATCCTCTTCCTGATTGGTTGCTCTAGAAAGCTCTACCCTGAGGGAAAAGAAGAGGACAGTGATTGGCTAGTCATTATCCCTCCAACTCCCCACCTTCATCTCATACAAATCTGTCATGGCACAACCACTGCTCCATATGCTACCACGATTCAGAGAAATGCATAGCTGCAGTACTGGTTATTTGTATTATGCAGCAACAAATGTACCAGCAGCAGGACAGAAGTCCATCTGACCTGATCAGTCCAGGTCACATTTATCTGATCCAGCACGTATCGATTATATCTTACCAATAATCTGGTGCTCATGTAAACGGTAAAATAGCTTGCTTTTATATCACTTGAGGGCAGGTTGATGTACGGAAAAAAAAAGATCTGTGCAAAGTTCAAGAGAAGACAAATATCACGCGGTCGGAATGGGTCAGCTTTGGGGTAGGATAAGTCAGTCATTAAAGAAAGATCTTTGGGGAAATGCTGCATATAGAGAGAGGGAGGTAAGTCAGAGAACATTAAAGAAGTTGTCAGTCTATGACAGGGTTGCCTTTAGCAGCACGGCCCCTTTACCTCTCTGACATATGCAAGCCATCTGTATTATAGTGCTTGCAGTTGTCTGGCCTCTGTCGGCTTGCTGCAGGTCTGACTTGGGAGCCTACTGAAATCCATAGTTTGTATAGGCCTGAGCTGCATTACGATGCCGGTGATGTTTATAACACCGACCGGAAGCATATGATCTATGGGGGTCTGAGAAAGGCACCTCTACATTTCACAGATGAAGGGGTACCTTCCTTCCTGCTCACTAACAGCCCTTTAGTCTGACTTGCCAGCATGCTCACTTTCTCATAACCTGTAATCAATTACAAAATCCCTTACAAAGCGTTTCCCGATTTAAAACCCTGCTTACGCTAACGCTTGGATTTTGACCTGTGTACTAGAAGATTCTTCACATTACACACATACCAAAACAACCTTCAGGAGGCATCCCTCTAACTAACCCGTGACTCAGAAATGTTCTCCAAATGAAAGTAAGAAAATGACACCTGCCAATGAGATTTGCTGTTTGACCTTGTTTGTTTGTTAGTGGAATAATAATTAGAACAATGGTTCTCAGCCCGTGTAACCTCAGGACCCACATTTGTCCTTGGTCATTAAGTCATGACCCAAGTCGTAACGCACTGGAATGCATGGCATTGCGGTACTGTGCGTTCTGGTGCAGGCAAACTGTGGGTGGGAGGTGCATTTGGGGTGCCATTCAAATTAATGGCAATGCAACACACCTCCCACACCAGAATGCGTGGTAAGTACGATTTTGCATGGTACAGTGCGTTAATCGCACGGGACTGTGCGATTAACGCACTGTACTAGTGTGAATGGGCACTCAAAAACACTGACAGACACAATCTCACACACACACCCTACCTTACAAGAATTGGAGAGGATCCTCAGCCTGGGGTCCAGTGTAGGCTTCTGTGCCATGACCAAGCTCCATCCATATGTGCATTGCTCATACAGCTCCCTTGCATGCCCTGTAGAGGTGCCAGGAGCCAGAATGTGACGTCACTCCGGTCCACGCACCTCTGTAGGACACGTGAGAGAGCAGTAAGGCATGCGGTGACCCACTGACCATGGGGGTCGCGACCCACTTTTGGGTCACGACCCACCAGTTGAGAACCAAGGAGTTAGAGATTAGTAACCCAGTAATACATGAGATAAATGCCAAATTAGATAACATGCAATTAAGGTGAAGTAAACTTAAATAATAAACTTAATGTGAAACTTCACATGAAAAAACAGGGGGCTTCATACTCCTTTACACATGTGTAGGATCAACAGTTGGTGTTTGTGGTCTCATTCCACACACCTCCCAACATTTCAAAACGGAGACACCTCTAATTTACCAAAACCAGTCCCAAGTTACAGGGCTCCAAAAAGACTTCCAAAAGTGTTTGCAGATTATATGCAGATAGGGGTCACCAGTGGCATCACAAGGGTGGTGCGGGGGGTTCGGCCCGCATCCAGGTGACACCATTGGAGGGGTGACACTAAAATGACTGACAGACACTTTGGTGTCACCCCCTCTAAAAAGTCAGGCACTCGGTCATGGGCCGAGAGTCCGACAGTGTCAGGAGAGAGGAGGGGAGGGCATACCTCATCCCGCCGGGTGAACGTCCCCTCCTCTCTTTGCCGGCGTCCATCACTAAGATGGCCGCCGGCAGGCGTCAATTAGATGACCGTGCATGCGTGATGACGTGTCACCCCGCCTCGGGACGCCTCTGGGGGTCACCTCATTCAAACGCCACCAATGAGCCCTTTGCAGCAGCACCTAAACTGACTGCTGCACTGAACCTTTTTCAGTGGTTTACAGCTCTGCTGTTAAAAATCAGGGGTGGGAGACTGCTCTGCTCATGCTTGCAATAGTCATAAACTGGGCTGTAAATGTAGGGGTTTAATACTTTGTGGCTATGAATGGAAAGCCCTTTCAATTGAACCTGTGCCCAGACTATGCATACTAAAGTATTTACCTCTTTCTGAACAAGCAGTAAAACAAGCCCTCAATCACCTCTATAGTTATAGGCATTGTAGAGAAATGAATCTTCAGACAGAAGCACTGAGATCTCAGCTATTTACTTTCTATTGCAACAGAATCTTGGCAGCCTATCAGCCTTCTAATTTAAACAGCCAGCGGGTTTCTATGCTGTTAGTGACTGAAACCCAATTTCAGTCTTTGTTGTGATATTTGAGAATGAATTATATCAGAGCATATGCATCTAGACCTGTGTAACCTCAGGAACCATATTTGTCCTTGGTCATTAAGTCGCTACCCAAGTTGCACTGCACTGGAACGCATGGCATTACAGTACCGCGCGTTCCAGTGCAGGCGATCGAACTGTAGGCAGGAGGTGCGTCTGGGGTGCCATTCAAATGAATGACAACACAACGCACCTCCTGCACCTGCACCTCCTGCACCAGAAAGCACGGTAGGTGCGATTGCGTGGTACAGTGTAGTGTTAATATCGCACTTTAGTAGTGTGAACAGGCCCCTAAAAACACTGACAGACACGCACAACCACAGACACAATCTCACACACTCACAGACATTTTCACATATGCATACACACGCCTTTTTTTAAGATCCACCCAGTCTCCCTACCTTACTAGAACTGGAGTGGTTCCCCAGCCTGAAGTCCAGTGTGGGCTGCTGTGCTGTGATCCATCCCCATCCATATGTGCATTGCTTACACAGCCCCCTTGCATGGCCTGCAAAGGTGCTGGGAGCCAGAATGTGACATCACTCGGGTCCAGGCACCTCTACAGGGCATGTGAGGGAGCTGGACTTACCCCTGGCCCACCCCACCTCAAGCTGACAATCGGCACCAGGCGGCATATTTTGAATGGCTGCTCGGTGCGAGAACTGACAGTGCTGCACTAGGGGGAGGCTGAGGAGCCTCTTCCCTAGCACAATGGAAGGCACACAGCGACCCACTGAACATGGGGTTGGGACCAACTTTTGGGTTGAGAACCACGTATCTAGAGAGATGAGCTATGGCTTGTTTTTCCAGTGCCTTTATTGCTTATGTATACGCTTATGTATATGTAAACACTTTCCTGTCCATAGTCCGGCCACAGGTACACTTTAAAACTATCTATAAAAATTGATTCTAATTGCACATCATTGTCTGAGAATTGGGGCTGCCCTACCAAAACCAGACAGATTAGAAGAATGCCTGATGGAGTCATGATAGTGATAAGCTCACTTCCAGAGAGTAATGGTCTCATTACATACTAGGCAAAGACAGATATATAGGTAGCACCTAGAAAGGGAAATGCTTCTGGCTTCAACAAAATCTGCTCACCCTCCAGATAACACCTTCTCAGAGAAATGTGGGGGGTTTGATTTGCCATATTCTCTTCTGTACTGATGTTATCCACCGCGTATGTCTGCAAAAGCATTAAAAAGAAGCAGGTAAGTTTGCTATAACTCCCTTCATACACCGGGCAGTGTCACTGTGAGAGGCTGGATAGAGTATAGTATGTATTAGTATGTATGTGGATTACCCCTCTTCAGATCCACAAGGACAGTTATACTTTGCACTGCAGTGAACACCATGCAGCCTATTATGTTTCATCACATCAGTAGCAAGTATACATGTGTTATATCTTTTGAAGTCACATGTTAGGCCTTGTTCACACCAAGCGCGTTCCAGGAGCAGAACAGAGCAGTTACAGACTGGATCAAAATTGCGTCCAATGTATTCCAATGGTATTTTGGGCTCTAGTTCACACCGCAGCATTCAGTTCTAGAGCATGTAAAAAAACTGCAGCAAGCACTATTTTACCTGCTCTGGAACGCATGCAAACGCCCTGGAACGCACTAAAAGCCCATTCTAAACAAAGTCCAAATCCCATTTGCACTGCCACAGTCTCAAAACCACAAGGTATGTGGTGCCCAGGTGACCACACGGATGGCGCCGTGCAAAACACTAATAGTAAATCACCGGCACACACTTGAAGGGTTTTTAACCACTTGCCGTTCGCCCGTTGTAAAAAAACGGACGGCTGGCACTGCTGCATTGGCGGGTTGCCGTCTCCAGACGGCAATTTTTTTCTGCTCGCGCGCGCCCCCTAGAGGGCACGCACGGGCAGAAAAGTAAACAAACATTTTTTTATTTTTTTTTACCAAGATTGGCCCGGAACGCATCAAAAGCGCGCCACCACCCACTGCACTGCGGAAACTCATGCAGATCTTGTCTGCATTTGGTGTTAACAAGCCCTCAGACTTCTTTTTAATTTGATGTAGGGGTGAATATTTTGGAAAAGACCAATTTCAATAAAGAATAAAGATAACTTTTTACTGCCTGAGCTCCGTTTTTGCCATTTAATTCCACTTTAAAGAAAACCTTCCTTAGGCTGGGCACACACCTTACAACCATCGCAAGACTTTTGTCTTGTGATGGTTGTAAGGTACTTTAAAAAAAAAAAGTACGATCTGCCTATCTTGGACATGCAGATCGTACTTGCGATGATCGCAAACCACGCCCCCTGAGGGGCGGGCTTCCGATGACCGCAATGCCGAACGGGCAGTGTGCGCTTGCGCACACCGGCCTGTCCGGCTTTTATCTTACGAACATGCTACACACCCGCCGAACAACGTACGATGCTCGGTGGGTTTTCAAACATGTTCGTAAGTTTAAAGTCGTGCGAACTTACAGTAGTAGAGGTCGCACGGCTTCCACACACCTTACGATAATCGTACGATTGCAGGATTTCCCGCTATTATGGTAAGGTGTGTGGGGACCTTAAAGGAGAACTATGGGGTCAGTGTTTTTCCCCATAGTTCTCCTTAGGGTAACGGGAGGACACAAACTAGGGTCCTCCCGTCACCCTAGGCTCAGTATACCGCGAGCTGCAGCTCGCGGTATACTGAGACGCCGGAGCGGACGTAGATGACGGGATCCGCCCAGCTGCGTGAGTGACAGCTGGCTCTGCCTATCTAGAGGCAGAGCCAGCTGTACCCGCCCCCTCCCCAGTCCGTTCCGCCAGTCAGCGCTGGCAGATCGGAGCGGGGAGAGGGGAATCCAGCCCCTCCCGCTGTCACGGCAGAGAGCCGTGACAGGATCGAGAGGTGAGGGAACCCGGTATGTGTTCCCTCACCTCCCGATCTACTGAGCCGACCTGTGACAGCCTCATTGTCACAGGTCGGCTAGAACTATGAGGTGAGTGAAAAGCACTCACCTCATAGTTCTCCTTTAACCCTTGCATTGGGGCTATTCCAGCACTGCAAGTGTTAAGTGCTAGTGTTGTCTTGGGAGGAAAATAAAAAAGTTATGCTCTCTTGATCCTCCGAGCTGGCTTGCTCTTAGACCTGTCCTTCCAGCATCTCTAACCCTCCGCTGCACCAGTCTAAGGTCCAGTGAGTAATCATATCCAATACACTGTGTGGGGAATTTATCAAGACTGGAGCAGACAAAATCTGGAGCAGTTGCTTATGGCAACCAATCAGCTTCTTTCTTTAGTCTGTTAAGTAAAGCTTTGAAAATGAAAGGTGGATACTTATTGGTTGCCATGGACAGCTGCTCCAGATTTTGTCTGCTCCAGTTTTGATAAATTCCCCTCTGTGTATAAGGACATGAGGATGCCAAAGGACATACTATCACTGCAGCGTAGGAGGAGACAGGCTGGAGCGGAGTGCTGCCACAGCCGGCCGGCACAGAGAATCGGGTGAGTATAAACTTGTTATTTTTTAACCTAGGCACTTCCCTGCAGTAGGGATGCACCAATAGTTATTTTGGTATCGAGTACGAGTACCGATATATATCTTTCGGTACTCGCCTATATCAAGTAACGATACCGGTACTTCCGATAGCATGGAGCCGTCTTCCTGGTCAATCAGGAAGCCTGGCGGTGTGTCATTACTAATTATTAATGGTGCATTCTGCTTCTCCACAGATATAGCACGGTGTTATCCTTGCACAGGAAATAAATGTGTTAGGGCCCATTCACACCAGGATGTTGCAGTAACATATTATGGGGGACGGTTTATCAATTCTGAATATGAGTGTTAACCAGGAGCAGTGAGACGGACCAGGCAACAGATTTACTACAAGATTACAGCTTCATAAATTCCATCCTCAGCTGCATCTACAGACATCACAACCTGCAAAACCTTATTTCAGGGAGGTTCCTGTCTCATTTCAGGGAGGTGCCCTTTCTGTTTTTTGGGGGTTTTTTTTACAGCGGCCATCGTCAGAATATAAAAGAAATAATATATATATACACACACACACACACATACATACAGAGTAAAATAAAATCCATATACCAATAATACAATAATATTATATATTTATTTATATATACATCAGATTTGTGAATTGATGTTCAAGTATCTGTCAGTGTAAAGGTTAATGCAGCACTGCAACAGGATATAACCCAACCCCAACCACTTTCTAAGTTGGGTGTACACACATTGGGGGGAATTTATCAACACTGGAGCAGACAAAATCTAGAGCAACTGTGCATGGCAACCAATCAGCTTCTCTCTCCAATTTCTTTAGTTAAGATTTGAAAATGAAAGGGAGAAGCTGATTGGCTGCCATGCACAGTTGCTCCAGATTTTGTCTGTTCTAGGCAGGTGGCAACCCTACCTGGTGACGCTGCCCATAAGAATACAAGTCGAGTTGTGCAACTGCTGCCACTACGCATGTTCTGATATAAAACGAATACAATATTTCACTTGGTGTTTGTAGTGGGTTGTGTTTCATTATGTGGAACACAAAGGATGTTAGAGGGGATAGTTTAATCTTCTAATCTATTCGGCTCCCCTATCCATTCCTCTACTACCTATTTATGGACAGGAAAGCAGAATGGATTAAAAGATTCACCCATCCCCCCTATCATCCTGTGTGTTCCACATAATGTAACAGAACCCACTACAAGCACCAAGCGAAATAAGGCCACTGTATTAGTATTAGATTTAGATAACGCTGCGCATGCGCACTACCACCAACTAGTTACCGTGTTTCGACAGAACACCGGGCGCCTTGTAGCTCCGCCCCTTCAGCTGGTCATTGGTGGAGGATGTCAGACTCTGTTCGTTTCCCGGTTACCTAGCAACCCCGAGGAGCGTGCAGACCCGCCGAACGTCACGAGCCATTTGCCAATCAGCAAGCGGCGATTGTGTGCGCGGTGCATGCTGGGTCCGGATCCCTGGGAGCTCTGGGCTGCTATCAACAAACTGCTAGTGACATATCCTGGACACAGCTTGTAGCGCTCAGGTACGGGGGGCTTCCTTAAAGGACCACGCTTAGTCCAGGGGACTACAATTCTCAGCAGGCATTGAGACAGCTGTCCTGGAATCTGGTGTTTTACAATAGAGTGCCTAAAGCTGGCCACACAGCTAGCGATCTAATTGTACAATGAGAGCCGACCTGACTGAATTCTAATGGAATGTTCAGGGTGGACTTCTGCTGCATAGTTTTGGGTAGATCTTAAGCAGATTGATTAGGGATTGTATAGTGTGTGGGATCTCTAAACAGAACCTTCCCCTGGGCGGATTGAGGCTGGCCACTGATCTTTTTTTTTCTGCATGCTGGTAAATATAGTGCTGGGCGGATCTTATTCTCATCTACATACATTTCTATTGGTGTGTTTAAATTCTTAATGGCTTTAAACCAGGGGTGGACAAACTCCATCCCTCCAGATGTGGTTAAACTACGGATCACATCATGCATCTGTCTCTGGGAGTCATGTCTCTGGCTGTGAGAATCTTGCAATGCCTCATGGGATTTGTAGTTCCACAACAGCTAGAGGATTGGAGTTTGCCCGCCATTGGTTTGAAAGGAACCTTACAGGACAGAGAGATGACAGCTGTCACTCCTGAGGCAGTTAGAGGGTCAGGGGTCAGGTAGATGGAAGCCACCAAATATCTGACTTCAGGTGACCCTTCACCCCCAACTTTCTAGCCAAACAGTCAAGTTGGCCATACACTGTGCGAAGCTCGGCCAGTTCTTGATGTACCAGGCAAAATTCACACAGTGGTTGCCCCGGTCTGCACCATTCTGTCTGGCATCCTTCAATAATCAAAGGAGCTGGATGGAAATAATTTGGGTGAACAGTGACAGCAGCTGGTATTGTGACAGGAGCACATCCGCCACTGTCAGAATACAAAGGACACAGCGGGAGATTCGTCCATCCGTGCTGCTTTGTGTGGATGGAGGAATATGTTACTTTTTTTTTTTCCGTTCAGCCTGCAGGTTGAAGGTAAAAAATTGACCAGTGTGTGCAGCTTCAGTCTCAGATAAGATCTAGCCAAGAGGGAAATGTACACGTTTCCTTTTCAAAGTGAAAGGCAAAACTTTGCTTAGAGTGTGAAAGGGTTAGAACCTTTGTCAGGCTTTTGTTTCTGTGTCCCCAGTGGGTAGATTAGGCACTCACTCAGGAATTGCAGGATTTGGGGATTTAATATGGGGTGTGTGTTGATCTTTTTGTTGAGATAATAAATATATAATCTCAATAAAAACATATATCATATATCAAATATAAAATATATATTGT